TAACTGTAACGGAATACAGTTACTCATATTTTGTATTTTAAATACGTAACGGCGGTACATGTATTCCGTTACTCCCCAACACTGTAAATAGTTATTCTGCAGAAAATGTTTCCCAACATTACTGCTGAAGGCTTCTATTTAATCCTGAGTCTGAGGGATTAAAAGTATTAATAAAAAACAGCTGTTGCCAGCAAACAAGCGACCGTTTAGTTCCACGTTTAGTTTTTTTTTTGTCATTTGCTCACTGCACAATAATGCCTTACATTCGCGGGAAAAAATCACATCCGTTATAACACATCTTTCCACTCAGAGGGGTCACCATCCTCTTAAAATAGTTTTGTCTATACATACGATATTCTATAATGTATAAAACAGACAACCTGTTAATTATTTGTTAATTAATTAATTAATTAATTCTACTTTTTGTTGCTACGTTTCAATTATATTTCAACCCAAATGTTATTGTCTCTTACCCTAAATCACACACCACCCCGTTTCACAAGTGGTTTCCTCCGAAATGGCGCGAAATTGGAAAGCCCCGCCCATTATAAAAATCTTAGCTTCAGGACTGTAGAGACAAATGGCGGAAACTACATGAATTTGCCTTCAAAATAAAATACAATCGTAACCTCAACTTAGCTTTTTCACGGACGCACTTTTTGTTTGAAGGGCTGTTGTCGGAAGCACATTTCACACTTCTCTCTGCTTAACAACAACGCGTCATTCGGGCTGCAGAGTACTAACGTCAAACTCTTTTCGTTGAATGTTTTTTCACGTTTTAGAGAAAGGAACATTTTCGGACATACTACTACGACATAGCACAGCTATCATAAATACAAGCAGTCTGCTGGGTAGAGTGAGTTGTATGACTGTTTGGATAACTTGCTTGTATAATTGACGAGGCTCCGCTGTTTTGAGCAGAAACGAAACGCTTTGAAAAGCTTCATAGACAGCTGGAACAACCCGCATTAGTTGGACTGTCTGCTTCGCTGCCAACAACAATGAGCTGGTAAGTGTAATGATCGCTTCGCTCACCGCAGCAACCATGTTTCACAGAAACTTGTATTTACGGTGCAGGAAGCCGCTGCAGTATTGCCCTGAACGATACCCGTCGCTAGGTGTCGCCACTCAGCGTTTTTCAGGAGAATACAAGACCGGAAGACAAGACTTTGTCCAGTGTTTTTTTTTCTCACAAACACTAAAGTTTTCACCTGCGCCAACATGTGCTTCTGTATAAGTGTATGTCTCTGAGCTCCTGTGCTGGAGTATCATTAAAACCGACACGATTGTACACTCGTGACTTAAATCCAGCTGCGGCGCAACGCGCCAGTAACAAAACTGGAGGGGTGCGCGACACGTGGAGCACAAGTGCACTGTAATAACTTGGCTCAAACACCTGTACAGGTGAACGCAACGGCGGCAGGGTAGCCGCTATAATACTGCAGCCCTGAGTCTCCCCATTCCTAACATAATAATTACAATTTCCGATAAGGTATCCTTTTTTTCTCTGTAAAGCTTCAATGCCCGTTTACCAAGGTCACCGTGTGCCCAACTCCCACCCAGACAATAAATGCATTCTTTTTCTGTTCCTTTCTTTATCACCATTAATTAACCAGAAGGACTAACAATGATTTGCAGTATTCTGAGTCACAGATGTTCACTGATTATGAAGTTTTAGATTGAAACCGTCTGAAACTGCACCCTGTATGGTCAAGTATCTACATTCACTTTTGTGAGCTTAGTATGTTATATGCAGAGTATTGAAATGCTCATGTTGTACTTCATCCCTTCAAATCAAATGTATCATTTCACCTGGGTTACAGGGCCTAGGAAAGGTCTAAATGGCGTTTACTCACCTCTGTAAAGATGGCAGGAAAAGTTTTACTGAGTAGATTTCATTGTTCTGCTGATAGCCTAAAAGAAGAAACTCGAAGTGTCTCCCCTCACTGCCCCAAACCTGACGAGTCTGAGGAGCCGCTGGGCACAGCCATTGAAACTGGTGCTACTGCAGGTGAGATCCGTTTTTGATGTTGCAAAGGAAGTTGAGATAGACGCTGGTTTAATGAAGGATGTGTTTTACTGTCCTGCTGCTTAAATCTCAGATGACACTGATGAGATGTGGTCAGTTCATTAGGAACAGGGCTCCGTGTCACATGCTCATTAACTAGTAAATGCTAATTACCTTATAGTAACTTGTGTTACTGAAAAGATGCTGTGCGCATAGTCGTGTTCAGGTGGTGTCAATGTTGTGGTTGTTTTTAAGATGAGAGTGTGAAGTCTGAGAGTATGACAGCTGAAGTGGTGATTACTAAGGAAATGGAGGAAGAAGAGAAGAAGCTAATGGAGCAAGGCGAGAGGAAAGAGGAGGAGATGATGAAGAAGGTATGTTGTTTAATTTCTCAAGGTGGGAGTTGTATTTTGACATTAAAAGCTTCTCATTATTAAACTCATCATTAGTTTTAGTTGGTTTTTTGTGTGGCTGGTACAGATTTTAGGGAGTAAAAGGCGTATAGATGTGTGTCTGTAGCTCACCGGTTCATGTGATGATGAGCTACAATTGAAATGTTTCTACATCACTGATGTTCTGGATGCTTTCGAGCCCACTCATGTTAATGTAATTGCTTTCAACTTTTCCCATAAGGCCAGGGAGTCTTGGGAGAGGGACTCGCATGACATGCGGTTCAAGAGGCTCCAGCATTTGCTTCAGAAGAGCAACATCTATTCTAAGTTCCTGCTGACAAAGATGGAGCAACAACAGAATGAGGTATGGTGTAAAATGTGGACGTACAGGCTGTTTGCACCTGTCCACTCAAGGCTAACACGTCACTTCTGCTCTGCTAATGACCATCTCAGGAGAGACTCGGGAAGGAGAAACTTGAGAAGAAGGCCAAGAAGGTGATAGATTTACTGACATCATTCACAGTTACAGTCATGTTTTCAGCCGTACTCACGGCAGTTTGTTTCCTTCTAGATGCAAAATGCCAGTGGTCCAGAAGCTGTCAAAGGTGGGCCAGTATGCTAATATTTCAACTTACAGTATGGAGCTCAAATGTCAGTTGTTTAGTAGCATTTACACTCTGTGGACACTTTATTAGGTACACCTTGCTAGTACTGGGACCCGTTTTGCTTTCTGTCATATGAGGCACAGGAAACATACATACTGGCCATCACACAGTTTGCAGCTTTGATGGCTGCGTATCCACGATGCAGCTCTCTCGGTCCCCCTCAACCCAAAGATTGGTGACGATCTGAGTGCAGTGAACTTCTGTCATGTGGCATCTCAGTTTAATCACACTGTGGGTACACTGTGTACATAAAGGCGTGGATGTGGTCATCCACAATACTCAGGCTGGGCATTTTAAATGAGTGGGGACAGAGGGATGTGTCAAGAAGATGGCCCCGCCTTTGCTACGTCACCACAACCAACCTAAACCGTTAGTAGAAGTGAGGATGGGGCCTTCATGTATCTCTATGCCAACCCTGCCATTCAAATGTGGCAGCAGATATTGAGACTTAGCAGACCAAGCAATGCTTTTCCATCTTGTGTTGGTGTTTGGTGAGCCCATGCAAATTGTAGTCTGAGTTTCCTGTTTTTGGTGGGCAAGAAGTGTGTTCTTTGCTGCTGCTTCAAGGTTTGACATGCTGGTCTGGTCTTTAGCTTTAGGGTAGCAGGTGTTTTTTTTCTTACCTGTCTTTTTAACCCTTGAGATGGTTGTGAGGTAAAATCCCAGGAGATCTGCATTATTTAGCCGTTCCACATTCAAAGTCACATACGTCACCACATTGTCTAAATGCACTGAGGTGCTGCTGTGCGACTGGCAGATGAGATGTGTGGTTTACAAGCAGTTGAACATGTGTACCTAATGAAGTGGTTGGTGAGTATCTACGGTCCTAATGACGTGACTGTATTTCTGTCAAAGCAGAGAAGAAGAAAAGGAGAAGAGATGAAGACTATAAAATAGCAGATGTGATGTCAAAAGAAGTAAGTCTCACTTTAGTTTGTGTGCAGCTTTAACTTTTATCTGTTTATCTTCATCTTCTCTCATGTTTCTCTTTCAGGAAATTATGTCGCAGGCAAAGAAAGCGAAAGTGGAAGAAGTGGTAGGGAGACTGTTTTTCCCCGCCGTGGTTGAAAAGCAAAAGAAGTGTTTGCACATGATGAATCCAGTGTACAACTGTGCCACACACATGCATGTCATATCTGATTCCAGGAAGCGGCACCTGCCCAGAAGAAACTAGAAGCTGAGGATATTGAGAAGATGAGCGATTCCAACCAAGATATAAAGAACCGGCTGTCAGAGACGGTGCGCGACAACGCTAAGCACCTCCTGCATCCTCATAGGAAGGTGAACGGGCAGCCAGTTCCTGTTCAGCAACCACAGCTCTTCACTGGAGGCGTCATGAGGTGGTACCAGATCGAAGGCATCGAGTGGCTGAGGGTAAGAGGAGATGCACCAAATGGCATTGTGCGAGCAGATTGTCTTTTGTATGTGATCTCGGCACAACAAATGGCGCCTAGATCAGCGGTGCTCAACCTTTCTCGCTCCACGGACGGTTTAATGTCACTGACCGGCCTTTAAGGTGTGGCGGATAAAAACAACAAAATAAAACGATACGACGAGACACAAACTCTGGTGTTTTGTAAATATAATAATAAAATAAAAAATAAATGAATTCACTGTGTAACTTTATTAGCAGCGTCCTCCTGAAATGCACCAACATTGAGAGTAACGTCCAGCTCTGGTTGCTATGGTAACGTGTAAATATGTCTTTCAAAATAAGACGCATAACTACAACACGGGAAAAGACCCAGGGAAACTGAGTAAATGATAAAAACCTTGCAAACCATAAATTTCCAACCTGAGCCTCAACTCTCGCGGCTCCGTACCGAACGACTCACGGACTGGGACCAGTCTGTGGCCCGGGGGTTGGGGACCGCTGCTCTAGACCACAATAACGTAGCAGTTAGGGACTGGAGCTGACAGAGGCAGACACACAGATGCCCCAAAACAGCAGCTGAGGCCCATCAATCAAAGTGTTAACGATTAGAAGAGTGGTACTGACGCGTGACAATGACGACGGTTAGTCGGCTAGATGACGAGTTGCGCGCGTCCGTGCCACCAATATGCCGCAGGACCAGGAAGGATTGTTTTACCCCTCAGTCGTAAAAGGCTGATGGGCGTCATCACCCTGCTGGGCGGGTGGCTGCCAAGCAACGTGGGCCCAAGTTTGTGAATATGAAAACTTCAAAATGAAGCGGCGTTTCATCACAGACGTATCTACTCAAACATCTCAATGACCTTGACCCCAGTATTTTTAGTGGCCGCCTTAATGGCCACTCCTCTGACAAAAACAATTATTTACAAAATATCTGTTTTGACAAAAGAAGGGCTGCTACACACGTGTCAGAAGAGAGACACGAGGAACCTTATGCAGAGTTGACCTGCAGTAACATGCGTCACACGGCATCGGTGTTCGGTTGAAATGAAGCGTCTGAACAGATGGGTCACACAGTTTCCCTAAACCATAAGTTCACCAGTTAGCTGCACTATTCTCATCCAGGCGAGGGCTTTTGAAAACGGACTGAAAATCTCAGTGTTTACTGTCTCATCAGTCTGTGTTGTTCCTCTGCTGTCAGATGTTGTGGGAGAACGGCATCAACGGGATCCTGGCTGATGAGATGGGCCTGGGAAAGACCATCCAGTGCATCGGTCACATTGCCATGATGATAGAAAAGAAAGTGCTAGGCCCCTTCTTGGTGGTGGCTCCTCTCTCCACTCTGCCCAACTGGATCAATGAATTCAAACGCTTCACACCAGAGGTCAGACAGCAAGCTGCTCAGCGTCTGACCCTGAAACACAAAGTCTGATTTACGAATAGAAATGAAAACCTAGAAAGGTGTCAGCGGTGAATGGCACTAGCTGACACTGAGTCTTGTTTGTGCTAGGTGTCTGTGCTGCTTTACCATGGCTCTCAGGCAGAGAGGACCGAGCTGCTGAAACAGATCTGCCGGCCTCAGGGGCCTCTCAGCATGTGCCCTGTAGTCATCACCTCCTTTGAGATCTCCATGATTGACAGGAAGTTGTTACAGGTACGATCCCTGCTGCTTCTTAAATGGCAGAGGGAGTTTTGGATAATAACTTGGCTTGTGTCTGTGTTCTGCAATAGCGCTTCCAGTGGAAGTACCTAATAGTGGACGAAGGCCACAGGATCAAGAACCTTAACTGTCGGCTGGTGCGGGAGCTGAAGATGCTGCCCACTGACAACAAGCTGCTGCTGACAGGCACACCGCTGCAGAACAACTTGGCTGAGCTCTGGTCCCTGCTTAACTTCCTCCTGCCGGAGGTCTTTGATGACCTCAAAAGGTGACGCTTTTTCTGCTTTGTTTTGCTGCTTTCAATGACAGCCAATCATCTACTGTGATGTGCACAGAAATGTGTCTGTGGGGGAGAACCAGGACTTCACAGGCATAACTGTGTTTAACATCCCAGTTAACAAAAACTGGGCAAAGTTGTGAGCATCATTGTATATATGCCAAGTTTGGAGCTGTTTGGGAATCATCCTGTCAGTGTGAAAGTGTTGTGTCCACTAAAGAAAGCTGAACAGCAGACTGGTAACAAAGTGAAAGTAAAGTCTGAAAAGAGTCCGGTGCAGGGACCGGAGTGGAGATGGTTTAAAAAGCACTTGATGCCTAAAGGAAAATTCCACAATATTCCTCAAGACTGCTTATGAAGCAACGTCTGGAAGCAAATTCAAGAAAAGAAGTTCGCGACTTATTGTGTTACCAAAATAGAAGCTGATTTGTTACAGTGTATCTGCATGAACACCAGACACAGCTGATATCTGTGCTCGATGCTTCTGATTGCTCGGCTTTGATCTCTGACATGTTTGCCTCACAGCTTTGAGTCGTGGTTCGACATTAACACCCTCGGTGAGGTCGACAGTATGGTGGTCGCTGAACGTGAGCAGAACATCCTGAGTATGCTGCACCAGGTCAGTCATCATCGCGGCCGTCTGTGACGCTGTTAAACGTCATCTGCAGAGATACTGAGAACATAACCACAGTTAAGAAAGCTTAAACTTGGCTACCAAGAAACATTTGGTTCCTGTGATAAGTTGGAGGTAAATTTGGTGCCTTTAAGTCCAGTGTTAAATTTAAGGTTTTGTCTGCTAACGAGCAGCAGGTTTGCCTGGATGTTTAAGTTTTTAATAAGGAAATGTAGCATGAAGCTGAAGCATATCCAGGTGTTCAAAGGCATAAGCAATAATCTTAATCTTACATCCATCCATCCATTACTTAGCTGGGCCATAGAGTTTGCAATCCCTGAAACAGTTAGCACAGCTCTTCAGTGGGTAGCACTCGAGCTAATTCAGGGTTTTCAACCTGACGTGACAGCGTAACTCTTCAGTCCGTCGAGCACGGCCACGATCTGCCTTTTACCACCATCGTCAGTTGTGGACCCCAGGACATTTATCACCATATGCCCTCATCCGAGGCCGGCCCACCACCGGCTGGGCCTGTCATGGTTTCATGTGGTCATTGACCCAGTCTGCTTCTGCTTTAGCCACAGCAGAAGGAGATCTTCTCATGACTCAAGTGACTAACCAATAGGTGGGATGCAGTCTGTTGACATCATATTTGTAGATCACCTCAGGATTTAGCTGTGGACGAACTGTGACAACATTTCTAAAACAGTTTATTTTGAAAGACCCGTTTTGTTTTTTCTCTTGAATATTTAGTTGTTCCCACCAATACAAATTCTTATCTGTTTATTTATATAGATCAATAATTGCTGCCCTACATTATATATAGATATTATAAATGATCTTTGAAACATTAGCTATCAGTTGTCTGTGTATAGACACTGCAGGTAAGCAGAAGTAAGTGTTATTGAAGGTTATCTGTTGTTTCAGATTCTGACTCCATTCCTGCTGAGGAGGCTGAAGTCAGATGTGACGCTGGAGGTTCCTCCTAAAAAGGAGATCATTGTGTACGCTCCTCTGACAGCCAAGCAGGAGGCTTTCTACACTGCTGTAGTCAACAAGACCATTGCCAAGATGCTGGGCCAGGAAAAGGTAACAAAGAGCCAGAGCTGGGAGCACGTTAGAGCAGGAGTCGGCAACTCTTTGGTCCTTACAGTGCGGCTCCGCGTGGTTTGGGTAAAATAAATGAGAAGTGTTTAGCTGAAGTGTATTTTATTTGTGTTTAGTTCTTTTTTTAACTTGTAGTTCTACATTGGAAGATTATTGTGATATTGAAATATAAAAATAAAATTATATTTCATTATTTTTCGTTGCTCAAAATAAGCGTCACACTGGCGGAAGCCGGTGTAGCCGCCGAAACGCCTGCAGTTATCGAGACTTTCAACCCCAGGTAGGCCAGTTATGGATCTTCGGATCCACATTATGTCAGCAGCTGTTCTCCACCGTGAACTATGTTAAAAACAAACACGCTCGCGCCTCAAAGACGACAGCTTACAGTCCTGTAAAGATGAAAGTGACTCGTACAGCCCCGACCTGCAGACGCTGTGCGCAGAGGTTCAGGAGCAGAAGTCCCGTTGTAAACATGTCACGGCAGACCCGACGATGTTTGCATGAACGCGCTTTTCAGCATCTCTTTATCGACCGCTTTTCACACACGGCTGCTGTACGCACACAGCCGGCTGTAGCTTTGCAGCTCACAGCCCGACACAACAGCAGGGAGAGCGCAGACTTTGAGGCGTGATTTTGGGTGCCGCTCAGGTGCGTCCATCCCCCCTGCAACGGCGCTGCAGACCACACCCCACCACACACATTAACCAGGTAAAATACATATGTATGCAGAATTTTGCAAATATCTATTTTTTTAGCAGCATAGAGCTTTTTAAAAGTCAGGTCAAGGCTCCAAAAGCCCAAAGGCGATATGAGGGGCGGCTCACAGTGTTTTTGTTTGCGTGGAAGCCGGGTCCAAGTGGCTCTTTGGGGGTTAAAGGTTGTGACCCCTGTGTTAGAGGTTTAGGCTTGGGGTATGCAGTGATACCCTCATTATTGGACAGCACACGTCCAGGTCAGCTCGTGGCGTTTCCATATCATTATGCTTGAGTATCTGCTGATTAGTGTCATTTTCTTAAAAAACATTAACAAACCAGGAAATGAGTCACTCGAACATGCCTGCTTGTCAGAATATAGCTAACAGCTGAAACCCTGTGAGAACCATGACCTTGTGACCCCTGTGTGTCATCATAGACCCCTCCATGTCTAATATAAAACACTGGCCCACTGGGTGTAGCTTTGACCTTCCCAAGAACAAGACTGTGGTGGACTTATCATTTCTGGTTTGAGTGTGATCCTAAGGTGAAAACCGAGTGGTGAAAGTTGTTGGTTCTCCTGGTGTACTTAGACAGAGGCGCCTGTAGCCCTGACATCCAGCGGCAGGCCGAAGCGGCGCAGCCGGAAGGTAGTGGACTACAAGGAAACGGATACAGACGCTCCATATGACCTGGAGAAATATCTGGAGAGGGTTCGCAAGGAGCTGGAGCCGAGGTGAGACCGCCTCCAAGCAGCTACTGTGACAGGAGAGGAAAAACAATGTTACCGTGTTCAGCGTTATTTAGTTTCATTTGGAGTCATCTGCCTGTTATCCCCACCACAAGGTAACAAATCCTCCTTTGACAGACGTTTGCTCACATCTTTTGTCCTCCGCTCTGCTTCAGCTCCCATCCAGTGCTGGATGTCCAGAGCCCGCTGGATGCTCAGGTCAGCCTGAAGCTGCAGAACATCCTCATGCTGTTAAAGAGATGCTGTAACCACCCGTACCTGGTGGAGTACCCCCTCGACCCCGCCACAGGGGAGTTCAAGGTAACGCTGCCTGTGCTCATTTAGAAGCACTAACAGTTCAACTCAGTGTTTTACAGTTAAATAGAATAAGCTCGATGAAGAAAAGGCTCGTGCTTGGATAACATGTTCACCCCAATCTTCCTGCAGATCGATGAGCAGCTGGTGCAGAGCTCTGGGAAGTTTCTCATACTGGACAGGCTGCTGCCAGCGCTGAAGAGAAGAGGTCATAAGGTGAAACGAACGCAGAGCTGCATGTGATGCAGAGCTGGGACAGAAGTGTGTGAAAGGAAGAAGGTTGTGCTACAAACAGGAAATGTCTGTTAAAAAACTGCAACGTATTCATGAACCTATTAAACGCTAAAGTCAGCAGTTTAAACACAAAGTAACTCTGAGGACACAGGCAGGAGTCGGACGTATTTAGTGAAGATTACAGGAGCAGTCCTTTCAAGGCTGCTGGCACGCTCTGGACGAGGACTGGGGCACCAGCTCTGTGTGAAAATAAGGACGCAACAGTTTTGGCTCCAGGAGCACAATTTCTGCCACGGTGACAAAGATCGACCTGTGGCAGAAGTGGTTCAGTTACAGGATGCCTGAGCTCTGGAAAGAGCTGTTGCAGTGAATGTGGGCTGACGGGCGTAGTTGGTTTCCAAAGTTCAGAAAATGCACAAGAACCGTGATCGCTGACGTCTGTGGTAATCTGAACTACTGAACGTACTGAATTACAACTTTTACATGAAAATGTTTTGCATCAAAATCTAAATTTAAAAAACGTTCTCAAAACATCACACAAAATGAATTGGACTGCGTAACATTTTCACCTTTACAGTGAAAGGTGAAGCTCATCTGCCACTGTCTCTCCTCTGTCATACCTCGGCATTATCTTCTTCCACCACATCCATGAGCCTCCTCGTCTCCTCCTCTGGCATCCTCTCTCTGCACATCTCAGCCTTGCTTCTGTCTCCAAACAGCTCCGCCTCACCCTGTCATCCTGCTCACTCCCAGTGGAACGCTTAGCATCTTCAACTCTCCAAATAATATATTAGGAGAAGACATTAGAGAAGCGAGTTTTAGATGGTTTGGACATGTGCAGAAAGGAGACATCGGATAATATTAGAAAAAGGATGTGGAGCATGGAGCAGGAGGAACAGAGGAAGTTTATGGAGCTGGTGTGAGATATAGCAGCAAAGTAGTTTGTGACCTTTGTTCAGAGAAACACTTACAGATGTTGTGCTGCTCTCTCCACACTGGTCCCTTTTCTTTAGGTTCTAATTTTCAGTCAGATGACGTCTATCCTGGATATTCTCATGGATTACTGCTATCTGCGGGGCTTCCACTACAGCCGCCTGGACGGCAGCATGTCATATGCTGAGAGAGACGAAAACGTGAGTTGTAGATTGTGAACATGTTGCAAAGGTAACAACCTCCTGCATGAAAAACATGTTTTTAACTTGATGGTGCAATATTCTCTCAACTCCAGAGATGTTTAGCACCCAAACTGCCTCTCCGAGTAGATTGTTGAGTCATTCTTGTCGTTCTCGGTCTCTGAAAGATGGCCAGGTTTTCCAAAGATCCAGAGGTGTTCATCTTCCTGTTGAGCACCCGAGCAGGAGGACTGGGAATCAATCTGACAGCTGCTGACACCGTCATCATCTTTGACAGCGACTGGGTTGGTGCTGATGACAAATCTACAGCAGCTGTTTCTTGTACATATCTCATTGAGTCCATGTTTGATGCTTCTGTCATCTCTCAAGAACCCACAGGCAGACCTGCAAGCTCAGGACCGCTGTCACCGCATAGGACAGACAAAACCAGTAGTGGTGTACCGCCTGGTCACAGCCAACACCATCGACCAGAAGATCCTGGAGAGGGCGTCTGCCAAGAGGAAGCTGGAGCAGATGGTCATCCACAAGAGTGAGTGTCTTCACTGTGATGGGATTGCAGCTGTTCACACCTTGCACCCAGTTTTCAGTTCATTGTGCTGAAATGTTTTGAAATGTGGTTGATGGTGTCTTTCCTCCACAGACAAATTTAAAGGTGGGAAGGCAGAGCTGAAGCCAAATAAAAGCTGCATTGATCTGGATGAGCTGCGGGAGCTGCTCAAAGCTCGAGGCACTGAGAAGTAAGCACTGACCTCCGAATCAAAGCACCGTGAACGAGCCTTGGAACCGTAACTGAAGGCTAATCTTGGCTGTAATGTTTGTCCCACTCAGGGAGGTTAAAGCTTCGAAAGGGAAGGTCATCAGTGACAAGGACCTGGAGATTCTGCTCGATCGCAGCGACTTGCTGGGTGAGGAAACGCATCATTTCATCAGTACCAAAAAACCCATCATAGCCTCGTTTTACAACGAGTGCACCGACAATGTCCTTTCAGTAACCACAAAACATGTGAAGTTCACAGGAGTCGGATTTAGTGTTGCTCAAGACACAAAAGCCCTTCTGACTCGACTCTTTTGTTAAAACCAGTTTAACTCGTGAGACAAGAAATGTGACAGTTTCTGTGCATTTTTCAGACAAAGAAAAGGACGGCATGAAGAAGGCGAAAGTGGGAGTCTTCAGAGTGATCGACGCCAAAGAGTCATCGGAGATCACGCTGGGCTGAGAACAGCAAAGCTGCAGCCATGTCACTTACAACCACTGAACACCTGAAACTGCTGTTTGTACAGTTTGTGTTTTGTATGTAAGGTGCTCCCCTGTAGTCTCAGGAGTGAGGGGGTTTTTTTTGCTTTTGTTATGATGGCCCTTCTACGACTGGACTGACTCCAGCGTGTTCAACTTTTAACTTCATCAGGCAAAACCAGATTCTCTCCAGCTGAGCCAACAAAACTGCCACAAGCTAGTTCACACACTTTGGTGTCACTGTGCGGATTTTTACAGAGAAATATTTCACTGAGATACTCTGCTGCTCGTTAACAAAATAGTGCCCAGGGTCGATTTTCTTTAAGGCTCCTTTTAAAAGCCGTTTATCATCATTCCCAGAATTGTACTTAAAACACTTTGATGCAGCTGGAGTTGGATATGTTCTCATGCCTTGAAATAAAGAGACTTAATTAGTGTTTTATTTTCATGCAGTTTCTGATTAAAAGTTTTTGTTAATCAAAAAATGCATCGAGTCAGTTAAACCTCTGAGATATTGATCTGTCAGGTAAGTAGCAGACTGAGGTTGGTAAAGTTTCAGCAGCTTTGGTGTTAAATAATTGCTTATTTCAATGTTTTTTCTCTTCAAATGTGGAATTTCAACCAGGCGCCCTGTTTGGGCTACACAACGCGTTTACAACAATGTGTTTTAACCCTGTCCTATGGAGGTCATGTAAACAAAAGGAGCTGTAAAAAGTAGCAGAAATGAACTGAAAGTAGCTGCATTGTCTCAGCACTGCACACAGCAAGCAGTGTTTATCAGTAACGTCATCAGTATTACTGATGGTACAGAGGCTTCCTAAGCAAAGTGGACTAAACGCACCCCTAATCCCTGATATGGACCGTATTAATAGCTATGCAAAGCCTGGTTCAGCTGATACTCGATTCCTCCAGATTTTGAGCCTGCTTCCTCTTAAGGCATGCCTGCCAGGGTGGGCCTCTGCCCAACTTTCACCTCAGTCACACCCATTATTAGCAGCTGTCCTCTATGCACTTGACAGCTAACAGGTTCGATTTAGTGGCATCAAGGATGTTAGTTGTTCAGGCTGGAGCAACCTGTAAGAGCCTTTTGAGTGAGGTTTTACCTTTACTGTTTCACAACAGCATAAAAAGGGAAGGTCCGCAATTTAGACTTTTGATAAATGGACCAATTCTTATGTAGTGCTGTTCTACTCTCTTAGAGAAGTCAGAGCACTTTGTCATGGCCAGTGATCAAAAACCACTGATCGATGGCCATGAGTACCATCACAGAGAGTTGGGGAGAGGCTGCAATCACAGCATTGTAAGATGGTGAAAGATGTACCCTTGTGGATGAGGACAACTTCCCCCAGTGTCTATTCTTACGTGTAGACATTGTCTTTAATTTTAAAGACAGCTGTGACATCATCACATCCTGGAGGGCAGTGACTGAGCAGCTTGTTTCGATGACATGTTTCAGTTAATACAAGCACACCAACATCTTTAAAAGATTTCATGAAAAGGGTGGAGGCAGGATGTTCCAGCTGTTTCTCAAAGAAGACAGTGTGTACAGTGAGACAAAACTGAGTTAACATAAAAACTGCTGATACATTTATAATACTGAATATAATTCATTATGTACTCTATGGAGGCATGTACTTGTTATATTAGCATTGTACAAACTGTTACTGTTGCCTTCTCATTGGGTGTTTAGTGGAATAATTCATTTTTTCCCAGTTCAATTCAACTATGTCCATGGTTTCAAACTACGCTTGCAACTGTAGCTCATTACAGACTGTGCAGAAACAGCTAAATGTGGAAACAAAATGTGCAAAGACTTCCTGGGCTTTCTTTTGTTTGTATAAAAATCCTGATGCAAACAATAAACGAGGATCCTTATCACGCAGGTTTTCAGCTGACATTGATAACGACGTGAGGGCACAGCTCTGTGTGCGGCTTTACAGCCTCAAAACAGGTTTATTCCGTTTGAACAGGTACGTATCATTTAGACCACAGAATGTCTTGAAATAAAACAACATTGTTTTAGGATTTTTTTAATGACAACAAACTGTTAACAATATCAAACATTTACTGTCTTAAAATCATAACTTATACCTGCTTCCTTGTCTCAAACCATCAGTTATGTGATTAACACTCAGGCTTTTGCCACGGTTTACATTTTACTGCTGCACTGGGTCGTTCACACTTTACAAAAGAACAAATGCAGAACTAAAAGATAAAAGTTAGTATGTAACAGCGAATTCCATCATCTGAATGTAACATTTTGAACACAAGTAACCCATGTAACTATATTTAGTAACAAAAATATAACATTTCTGTTATTTCAGTGCTGAGAGGGTTAAGAACTCAAAGGCCCTCATTTGTCCAAAAACACCCCAAAATAACCAAAAAACAAATGAAATCACTGTAGAAACAGCACGTTACATACAAACCTCTTAGTGCCCATTTACAACTGTTACACAGCAAGTACATAAGCAACAACTTGTCTGTTATTATTGCTTATGTTCAAATATTATTTACAACAAGGACGCCTCAGTTCTAGAATCCGTGAGTCTGATTAAACAGAGACACTTGGCTCTTTGTCATTTGTATTTGATCCAAAACAGTTTTACCTTTTTTACCTTAGATTTGAGATTAACAGACGGAATATTGCACAAATTAAAATGCTTTTTATTACGAGTTTTTCCTTCTGTCCTCAGTAACTGTTGTGCAAACAGATCACATATTTGTATGATGAAGATGCAATTAAGAGATCGAGTTTGGGACACTTAATGATTCAAACTCTCCCTGATATTTATTCTCCAAATCTCTAAAATCCAGCATAAGTGATGACGAGCATTCCTCCAAATCTGATTTCATCATTGTTAGTAGCGTAATGCAGGAGAGCACTGTCCAACTCAAAGGTCCAAAATCCCCCACCGGTGTTAAAATGGCTCGAGATCATGTGACTGTGGGTGAAATGTCACATGACGCACACACAGTAAGCCCTTATGTGATCCTGGAAAAGACCACAACCATCAGGAAATGTTTCCTCCCAGGTTAGATGTGATCCCTCTGCTCTTGTAAAAGTGTCAGATTCCAACATTTACGTTTTTCTTTTCTGCTTGGACAAATGGTACTTCTGTTATTCTTTTTTCAACATCAACGCATTTTATACTGGAATGAGCCACAGCGCATTTCAAGTTAAAGCTCAGGTCTTCAGGTTCACATCTTTTAACTGTTTGATCACAATATTAGATGTAAGGATGCTATTTTCTATTTTTGACGTCCTGCTGCTTGCTGACCTGAGATCAGTCAAAGCTGTGCTCACTCAACACCTTTTTAGTTACACAGGCCTTCACTCAGCGGGTGTTTTTTATTTGACTTTTTTCTGCTTTTTAAACTTATATTTTGTGGTTCTCGTTGCCTTAAGGCATTGTAAAGGTACACGGGTTTTAGCACGTGTGCTGCATAAATAAAATTGCCATTTCCATATATATCAACACAGGTAGTTTACATCCTGTTACAACTGAAAACATGTTATCTTAAGGTAACAGCAGGGACATTTAAAGATCATGCTGACAAGCTGATGCAATGTGTCCAGTATCCCCAGTTTAATCATCTAAGAAGCATTGAGTGCAGTTACATGCAGAAGCCTCCTCTCAGACTCGTGGCTAATGTTGTTTTCAGCTTGCTACAGATCAAAGAAGTCCTGAATCAGATAAACAAGAATAACTCATATTCTGATCTCTGGACTGTAGATTTGCACTGTTTTCAGTTCACATCTATTTCACTGTTACAATAAAGGAGAGTCCAGCAACTCTGTGACAATAACATACATTTTGATTCTAAAATGACCTCAAATGGACACAGCACGCAATTGATTTCTATTTATACAGAAAACACAAGAGGTTGCAGCTGACTCTAATAAAACCCACTACAATTTTCTGTGTACAGTAATTCAAATACTGATATATTAAAAGATCTACAGATATATGCACAGAATTCTGGGGAAAACGTCAGTAGACTCATTTTAAACTCACATTAAGTGGGGAAAATAACTTTGATCCACTTTAAAATGTAAGAAAAATGTTTTCAGTCGATGTCAACATCTCATTTTTTAACATGTCCAGACATGGAAACTCATTCCAAGCTGCTTATTAATATGTCATTAGACAGGTTTCTGACGTGGGCTGCTTCGGGACACTTGAGGTGTATAAAATGTGTATCGTCCTCTGAAGTTTCTCAGCAAATATCATGACAGAGAGTGTTTCTTCTCTACAAGTTAGTCTACATATTGGATTCATTTCTTCAGGTTAGGCTAAAATAAACCAGACGCGGTTCTGATTTTTTACATGAACAATAAAGTTTTGTTTCTGATAAACATAAATAGTCATTGAAACCTTGATGACATTCCTAACATGATTCCTCCAGATGTCATGTGTTATTATTTTTATAGTAAACTCATAAATTAGCTACGCATCTCATGCTGACCAAGCACTGCAGTGAAAGCTCGGCCTGTAAGCTTAGCTCCCACAGGGCAGCAAGTTTATGTAACACTAAGAAACCTTAAATGACAGCAAGTTAAAATTGTTTCCATTTTTAATTTTTTTTTACATTTTTTTTAAACATAAAATGTGACTTCAGTTGCCTTTACAGACGTCTAAATGTAGAGTGGATTCCTCAGAGTGTCCATTACCACGTTCTTCTTTGGTGGCCATCAAACTCAAAGTGCTTTGATTGGTCAGTAAGACTAGAAAAGCACTCTATAAATACCCGTCCATTTCCATCCTTTATTATTCTCATCTCGGTTTCTCTCTGCCTCACTCCTCTTCGCGTCTGCCTTTCATGCTCCCTCCTTGGGTCAGAGGTCAGCTATCAGCAGGTCCAGCAGCTCTCTTTAAGCTCGGTAGCTCTTTATAGATGTGATGAGGTGGAAAAACACAGTTTGAGTGTGTATGGGTTGGACCCATCTGAAAAAAGAAACACAAACAAATGCATACTTAGCATAACAGCCTGACTGGTATATCAACTGTGATAAAGATGTGAGAGCAAAAGGAATGGTACAGGTTTGGCTTGATAAGGCTCCCTTCCATGTATTTTCATTTATAGATGGAAAAGTGTTGTGTGTGTTGTGTGTGTAGTGTGTGTGTGTGTGTGTGTGTTGTGGGTGTGATGTGTGTGGGTGTGTGTGTGTGTGTGTCCAATTGTCAAGTCTGAGGACAAAGGTCTAATTTCTGTATGAAGATGAAGGAAACAACGTGACTATACCTGCAGCAGGCACGTGCAGGGGGGGGGGGCTAGAGGGGCTTGAGCACCCGCCCCTTTCCTGATGGGTGCCCAAAGTGCCCTTTTGTTGAGGCAACTTTTTAAAAAAAAAAATTTTTAATGTGTGTGTGCGTGCGGAGTCCTGTCTGTGCCCCTCAACAATAATATTTAACTATTAATCACAGTTTTGCTAAATAAAAGGATCTGGCTTGCATCAGTCACATGATCACATTTAACCAATGATCGCCCTTGACGGCAGAACGCGCTGGTTACGAGCCGGGAACGAGCTCACAAAGAGCACGCGCATTTTTAGCGGTCCGGAGCTGTAGGAGAAACACAAGTTAACTCAGAGACACAGACTGATGCGACACAACCAGTAAGTAGGTGTACAGCGCACACTGTAGTGTGTAGCACACCAGGAGTATTAGCTTATTACGTACACGTTGGTAAGCTGTCTTGTGGCAACTGACGAACTGAAACAAACGAGCGTGCTGTGTGTGCAACAGCGCGACAAACATTACCTGTCCTTTTATTAACTGCACAAGTAGTGCTGGTCAAGCTGCTGGCTACCTGTGTAAGGCTGTCATGGGTCTGTAGCTCTGTCACCGTTTTAGGGAACATATTTAGTTTTAAAGTAAGTTTCCGGGCTTTTCCTGCCTTTCTGGAGGGATTATATTTCACTAAAAAACGATCTAATATGCATGTCCACATAATTATGCATTATTATAATTATAATATATTAAAAAACACACGCTGTATTTTAAAGAACATACATTAAGAAGCAGATTATATTAGATTTATATTTTAAATAAGACAAAAGTTGGATTTTACAGCAGTAAAATGATTGTATCTCTACAGTTTAAACATGTAATAAGCTTTGCCCTGCACAGAGTGGATAGTGAAACAAATGGAATCATCATAAATACATTATTTCATATTTATTACTTCCCCCTCCTCATTGCTTTATTATTGTAGCTCTAGTAATAAATAATAATGTAAGGATTCTGGATCAGCACCTGATGCCCATAGTATATACAGTATTCTGAAGAAGGTCTAAAATGTCACTTGTGTGTGCATGTGTGTGTTTTATTTAGCATGGATTTAAAAAAATATTACTCATGATATAACATTGTCCAGACATGGCTGGTAAGGACATGAGGAGGAAACAGCAGGAGCTGTGTGAGGCTACTAAAGGCAGTGCTATAACATTTTTCTGTCATCATTTTATTATAGATTAAGTGCTGGAGTTGTTAGGTGTGGATAATTAGATTATAGTTTATTGCAATAGCAAGTTGTGCCTTGTTCTCAGATAGACAGCAAGTGGAGAGTGATATATGAAATGATGGGATGGAAGGAAGAAGAGAAGCAAAGAGTGATTCACAGGCAGAGCCTAAATTATTTCTCACAGTTTTTTGTTGCCTTATGGTTCCAAGCGCTGTCACCAATCTTTGCATTTTGTTATTATCTCATGACACTTGTTTAATCAGCTACCATCTCTCCTATGGACTTTTTAATGTCTACAGTCTCAGATCAACACAGCCCTGCCCTTCCCATATTAGATTCTTGATGAATGTGTGTTGTTGTTATTCAGCCTGGTTTTAACTTTGAGCACCCGCCCCTTTAAACCTCTCTGCACGGCCCTGACCTGCAGGCCTGACAGCAGCAGATGTATCACGGCTGTAACACCTGTAACACTCAGCAGTCGCCTCATTGTTCTGACACACACAACAAAACTGTTGACTACACTACACACTGACTACACAAGATTTGCGCTAAACGTCTCAAATCTCTCACATCTCAAACACGCCGTCACTCCTAAAACTTCCCCCGTTTCTTAACAACTAGATGCCACGTTGCCATATAATTTTTTGATTGGTCGAATGGCACTTTTTTGGACAAATAGGAAAGGCAGAGGGGGGTGGGGTTTGTCTTTGCTCACAGGCTTTCGAGCGTTTTCCTTATAAAACGCCGTTTTTACCGTTTCTTCCTGCAGTAAATATAAACAACAACAGTATTCAGGAAGAAAACCAAACATTGCGTGTTTTTTATCACAACTCTGGTTTTACGTGGCCGATCAACACAGTTTAAAAACTGGTATAAAGTCCACACTTTGTCCGTCAGTTGTTCCGTCTGTCCTGCTCACATCTCCAATGGTTGTACACGTTGTCATTAACGTGGCTTCACTCCACATCAGCCGCTTTGCTAGCTACAACACTGGTGCACTGCAAAGCACTGCAAAACAGAATTGTTAAAGTTTTAATTTTAATTTCAATTCAGTTTTTTTTTGTGCGCAACGCAGATTTTCTGTGCGCAGACACCATGCCAGCAGTGCGCAATTGCGCACGTGCGCAGCTTAGAGAGAACATTTCTAAGAGCTCTTCATATTAAAAGAGAGCCATGCGCTGCTAAAAGGACTTAGCTCTTCACTTTACTATGGCAAGTGTCCTGGAGGACAGTTTAGAATTTGATGCCATGTAAATAAAATTACATTAATTTGAGGATGTGACAGTGCAGTATAAAATGTAAAGCATGGTTAGTACCGTATTTTCCGCACTATAAGGTGCACTTAAAATCCTTTAATTTTCTCGAAAATCAACAGTGCGCCTTATGTATGAATTCTGGTTGTGCTTACTGACCTCGAACCGATGTTATGTGCTACACAGCGATCAGAAATCTGTCAAAAATATTTTAGTACAACTTTGGTAGCTACGAAGCCGCATTACGGCTGCCTCGCGGGGTAATCTGGGTCCTAAACTCCGTCCACTTCAGGTCCCAAAGTCAAACGAACACTGTGGCATCACTGAGCATTGAAAACTGTCTGAATTCTTTCATCTTTAATTAAATGATCAGCGTTCTGCTCTACCAGGTGTAACGATTAAGTTTAACATCCAGGCATCCATGAAAACAGGATTTATTATTTATTTAACAGAATTAGAGGTTAGCAGGAAGTCCACAGTGCAGACTTTCATCCTCAAGGAATTAAACTAACATTTCACAAAATTATTTTTACAAAATAATTTTTTCTACTTCAGATGTATTTTCCATCTCCACATTCAGGAATTATTTGTGAAGTTTCCAGCATGAGACTGACAGAGTAGGCAGTGATGGATGTTTTTCTCATGGACTTACTGGGAATCCTAATCTGGTAGTGGTTGAGAACAGTAAGAACCTCCACAGCCTCTGTCTTACTGTCAAACTCCAACAAGCCGGAGATGGTCTTAGAAGAGGCTGAAAAAAGAGACTGAACATTAAAAGGCAGGCGATGACCACATTCACGAGACTTCATCTGTTCAATCAAATGTCTACTTACGTTTGGCATCAAACATCTTAAATTTGACAAAGCCAGGCAGATCATGCTCCGTGCACAGCTACAGAAACACAGACAGCAGCGTGTGAGCAGTTCTGCACTAGGCAACAATTAAATATACAACTTATCAGCATTTGTTATACAATGTGGGAGTGGATTTCTTCATGGCAAAGACTGCTCAAGAAATCAGGCTCAACTCAAGAGAGGATCTTTGGGCATTTAAGGATATCTTGTTAATTCAGAAAAACAGGGCAGTCTTCTTAATAACAATGTTTTTTTTTGGAATTTCCAAGATAATAATCATATTAATTCAGGAAAAAACAAGAAATTATGAAGTAGATTTTGGATACATCTCTGTATGATAGGATAGAAAATGTTTTAGGAGGTCTGGAATACCTTTAAACAGTTCTTTACAGTTACACAGAAAAGACGGACAGCGAACAGACAGAAGTACTTTACCCTCAGTAAATGATCCTGTGATATGCACGGAGGAACGTTATAGTAGTGCAACACTGCAGATGGAGGCTGGATGATGTTTTTGGAGGCTTGTCCGGCACTGCTAAAGCGATTGTTTCTGGTCATAGCAAAGTCCTTATAGCTGCTGCTGCCATCCTCTAACTCAAAAACCTGGCTGGGGATTACTGCATGCTGCTTCGACACACTGCAAAAACCAAAAACATCAACTGTGTTACTTATCTTATCAAATCCATGCATAATAAATCTACTGATCATGAAATAGTCAAGATAATATACACAGAAGTAAAGAAGTATATGGTGCCAAATTGCCTCAGTGCGCTTTATGTTGTAAGATAAACACACACAAAAAAAAAGAAAACCCCCCAACAATCATATGACCCACTAAGGAAGCACTTTGGCGACAGTGGGAAGGAAAAACTCCCTTTTAACAGGAAGAAATCTCCGGCAGAACCAGGCTCAGGGAGGGGCGGGGCCATCTGCTACGATCGTCTGGGGGTGAGGGGAGGAAAACAGTGAGTAGAAGGATTTTAAATTTGACTTTGGAGATAACAGGATCAAATAATGAGAAGCCAGTATGGGCAAAATATGCTTTCTAGCCCTTTTCAGTAATCATGCAGCAGCATTCTGGATTAACCGAATTCTGTTCAGGGAACAGTCCTAAAA